GAGATGTGAGGCGACAATGTGTTCGAGCGTTTTGCAAAGGATACATGTTAATGAAATCGGTCGATAGTTGGCTGGATCTGTGCTGTCACCTTTTTTGTAAATAGGGCAAACATAGGCTTTGGTCCAGTCAGAGGGAATTGTACCAGAGGATAAAGACTTTTGGAATAGAATTGTGATGATATCTGTGATTTCATTCCTCAGTTCTTTGAGGACAACCGGCCGAACAAGGTCTGGGCCTGCAGCTTTATCTATCTTTAGGTTGGCAAGAAGTTTCAGCACCCCATTTTTACTGACAGAAATATCATCCATTTGAGGGTATTTACAGTATTTTTTGGGATCAAGGTAATAAAGCTTTTGCATGCAAGTTTGTTTTAGAGACAGTGGAGAGGCACTGGAGAAAACTGATTGGAACTGTGTGTTTAATATATTGGCCTTGTCGCGGTTGTTTGATTTAAGATAGCCTGTTGTTTGGTCTTTGAGAGTTGTTACATTTTGGGAATCTTGTTTGGAATTTTTTAAGTGAGAGTACAGTTTTTTAGTAGAAAATTTAGTTTGGGTATCTGTGGGATCATTGTCATCAAGTTCTAATATGTGTTCTAAGTGTTGGTCGTAAGATGTTTTGATTTGAGTTTTGATGAGTGCTTTCAATTTTTTGAATTTTTGTCTAAGTTCATGATTTGATTTATGTTTTTTTAGTTTTTGGTATAGATGGTCTCTTTTTGTCATGAGTTTTTTAATTGCCTTTGTTATCCAGGGTAGGGATTTTTTTGATCCTATTCTTTTTATTGGAACAAATTTAGCAATTCCAGTTTCAATTGTTGATTTAAATTGAGTCCATAGTTCTTCAACTGAAAGTGTATCAACTTTGTGTATGATTTCTTGGCTAAATGTCTGCATATGATTTTTAAATTCAGGCCAGTTAGCTTTTTTGTAGATTGGGCAGTTTCTTGGTTTTTGTTTGTTTATAATTGGTCTTGCGTGTACACTTGTTGTGATGATGTCATGATCTGATATTCCTGGGATTATTTCTGTTTTGTTGACAAGTTGTGTGGTTTGAGATTAAAAAGAGATCTAAAATATTGTTGTGTCTTGTGTTTTCATTTATCATTTTGAGTAAGGCTATGATTTTCGATGACTTCAAGGAATTTATCATAAGTGGAGTTTGAATTAAAGCCAGATTTGTAAGAATAATTATGTTCTGAGTCCCATGTAAGTTTTGGAAAGTTAAAGTCTCCTAAAATTATTTTTGTGCCTTTAAGATTTCTTGTTAAGTC